AACGTGTGTAGTGGGTCCTACGGTACAGTGTGCTTGGTTTCGTGAGGAACGACCCACTGTCTTCCCGAGTGGCTGCCGTCAGCATCCCGCCGGCAGTGGGTGGGGCCCCGCTGCCCGGAGCCACCAGCCGGCAGTGCTGCCAGTGCCGGGCCTGGCCGTTTGGACAGGCGTGTGGCGGGGCCTCGCCGGTCTGGGAGTCCAGCTGTGACACGCTGTCTGCGGTGCCTGAGACACAAGTGGACGTGTCAGGCAGAGAGCAGGGAGCGTGATGGGGTCAGAGAGACCCCACAGCTCCTCTCTGGACGGACGCAGCAGGACTTCCGGCTCTGGCTGCTGGTCTCCCCAGGAGCGGTGCTGTCCGGCCACTGGTTCCCCAGCAGACGGCCCTGACCAGACCGCAGGCTCTCCCCCCCATCCCCAGAGCAGTGCGAGAAAGGTGGGGTGGATGGTGGGTGGGCGGGAGCCCACACTGGAGGACTGGCTCCGGGACTGCACAGCCCACACTGCAGACAGACCCCGGCGAGGGCTGGGGGCTGGGGGCTGGGGGCTGGATGCAGGGCATGGAGGGTGTGAGGCACAGCAGCAGGGGCCTGCGCACAGGAGACCGAGGGGCAGGCCAGCCCTTCCTCCCCACCCCCGCCTGCACACCCCAATCAGACTCCTAACTGATGGCGCTGCCCTTCACTGCAGGCGCCGCTGAGACCTGGGAGGAGGGCCGGGGGACAGCGGGCAGAGGGCAGCATGGGCATCCCCTGCTCCTGGGAGGAGGGCCGGGGACAGCGGGCAGAGGGCAGCAGGGACACCCCCTGCTCCTGGGAGGAGGGCCGGGGACAGCGGGCAGAGGGCAGCAGGGACACCCCCTGCTCCTGGGAGGAGGGCCGGGGACAGCGGGCAGAGGGCAGCAGGGACACCCCCTGCTCCTGGGAGGAGGGCCGGGGGACAGCGGGCAGAGGGCAGCAGGGACACCCCCTGCTCCTGGGAGGAGGGCCGGGGGACAGCGGGCAGAGGGCAGCAGGGACACCCCCTGCTCCTGGGAGGTGGGCCACCAGCACGCGGCAGACAGGTGCCTGGACCCAGCCCTGCACAGACGGTGGCCTGGAGAAGAGGGTGGGGGAGGGAGAGCCCTCGATGGCGCACCTCCATGCCGGGGCAGGGTCCTGCGTGCCTGAACCCTCGCCCTCCCACAGGCATCCTGCCCCTCCCCAGACACAGTGAGGCTGGACGTCTGCCCACCGGACAATATATGCCTCAGGGCAGCACTGACAGAGTCCACAACAGCCTTTTCCTGAACTCGACAAAGTGTCTCTGAAATCTGTTTAGAGTAATAAATAGGTAAGAATACCTTTGAGTTAAAAACAAGAAACCAAAGACAGCAATGCTGCTCCTCCAGACAGGGAGACGGTTCCAAGTCAAAATCACGGAGAACAGGGTGCAGGTAGATGGAGCAGAAACCCAGAGCCCAGGACGCAGACCCGCCGTGTGGGGAAGACGGCAGGTTCTGAGCGGCAGGCCGCTGGCTGCGGAGGTGCCCTGGGCCCTGCGCCACAGAGAGCCAGCTCCAAGGAGAGGAGGCCTTACGCCGACTGCTGCGGAGAGCACTCGGGGCGGGGAGGGCCCACGCCTGGAACCGCCGACTCTGCTGCGGAGAGCGCTCGGGGCGGGGAGGGCCCACGCCTGGAACCGCCGACTCTGCTGCGGAGAGCGCTCGGGGCGGGGAGGGCCCACGCCTGGAACCGCCGACTCTGCTGCGGAGAGCGCTCGGGGCGGGGAGGGCCCACGCCTGGAACCGCCGACTCTGCTGCGGAGAGCGCTCGGGGCGGGGAGGGTCCACGCCTGGAACCGCCGACTCTGCTGCGGAGAGCGCTCGGGGCGGGGAGGGCCCACGCCTGGAACCGCCGACTCTGCTGCGGAGAGCGCTCGGGGCGGGGAGGGTCCACGCCTGGAACCGCCGACTCTGCTGCGGAGAGCGCTCGGGGCGGGGAGGGCCCACGCCTGGAACCGCCGACTCTGCTGCCGAGAGCACTCGGGGCGGGGAGGGTCCACGCCTGGAACCGCCGACTCTGCTGCGGAGAGCGCTCGGGGCGGGGAGGGCCCACGCCTGGAACCGCCGACTCTGCTGCGGAGAGCGCTCGGGGCGGGGAGGGCCCACGCCTGGAACCGCAGGAGCCCACCACACACTGCAGCCACCACGCCCCTCCGCTGGTGGTTCCCCAGAAACACACTGCAGTCAGCACAACCCTGCCCGCCTTCCTGACTCAGGCTCCAGGTGAGTCTGACCCACCCTGTGTGGCTCGGGTTCGAAGCCTCTGCACTGTGTTCAGTCCAGCCCACATGCCAGCCACCCGGTCTACAAGGCCACTGGCTGTCACCATCTTGGATCTTCCGATGTGTGTCTCCCCTCCCCAGGAGACACTGGTACCCACCTGAGCTTGGGCCCAGACACCTCCCCCTCCCCCTCCCCCTCCTGGCCCCATGGCTGGGCTGGTCCTGACAGCCCGGGCTCCCGCCCCAGCACGCTCCCTGTGAGAACTCCCACCTCCCCAACAAAGGGCATTTCCACCTGTGCACAGCCAGGTGTCCACGGCACCTACGTCCAGTTCAGCTCTGAGAGGTCAGGGCAGTCCTGGTCGGGTCCAGGGTGCCTGCAGGGCTCTGGGGGCCAAGCTGGCAGCCACGTCGAAGACCGAGTCCCCCCTTCCCTCCTACGGGGAGGCTGGGGAGGTGGACGGACGGGGTAAGGAAAGCCCGGCTGGGGCAGAGGCCCCTGGGAGGGTGACTCGGAGCAGGAAGCACAGGGATGGCCGGAGAGGCCAGCATCCCACCTTGCTCCCTCCCTGCAGGGTCTAAAGCCCCCAGTTCCTGCCCAGGGGGGTCCCCTTCAGTGGAGAAGGAGCCAGGGAAGTGCAGGGCAGGGCTCCTCCTTAGGCGGGGGTCTTGCCTGCCCCCAAAGGTTCAGCGTTGTCAGAGGCCAGCTCCTGAGCTAAGGGTGACAACTATCTCTGACCCTGAGCAGCCAGACCAGGTGGCCACGGCACACCCTGGCTGTGTCCCCAGGCACAGGCGTGAGCCACAGGGGCCTCAGCATCCTCACCTGTGACCCACGACAGGGACCGTCCTTCCTCCTGAGTGCCAGCCCAGGACGGCCGCGCCAGCTTGGGCTGCTGGCCTCTTCCCCGAAGATCCCCTCCCGCTATGCCATGCTGAGCACCTTTGCCCCAGGGTCTGCCCGCACCAGGCCCTCGGGCCTCCTCCCAGGGCAGAGGGGTCCAGGCAGGAGCCCCCCTTCCCCTCCCCACCGCACTGCTGCAGCAGCAGCTGTGCCCACGGTCAGGCAGTGACAAGTCCATCACCCTCAAAGTGCCTCTGACGAGATTAGGCTACTCGAGTCTCAGTGCATTACCTAATTAGACCCCAGCAGTCCTCTCTCTGCCCAGCCCGGATAGGCCGGGGAGCTGTGTGAGGAGCCAGGAGGCGGGGGGGCTGGAGGCTGGGGTGACGAGGTCCCAGGGTCCTGCTAACCCAGGGGCTGAGCCCTCTGGAAGGGCGGCTTAGCACTTTCCGTGTCAAAGACCCAGAAAACCTCGTGCCTCCCGTTGAGAGCGCAGGTAGGGAGGGGGCCCTCGTCCCTGTTCCTGGTGCCGTGAGCCAGCAGGCTGGCGAGGACCTGGCTGAGCTGTCCTCCCACAGAGCTCGCTGCTGCACCCTCCGCCCCCACCGGCCACTCTGCCCTGTGCCCTGTGCCTGGCGGCAGAACCTGTGTGGACATGGGACCTTCCTGCACCACCGTGCCTGGCCCCTCAGCAAGCCCAGCAGCTCCTGGCAACACGGTGTGCACAGCGCCGGGGCTGGAGGCAGGACCTTCCCGCACCACTGTGTCTGGCCCCTCAGCAAGCCCAGAGGCTCCCAGTAACACGGTCTGCACAGTGCCAGGGCTGGAGGCAGGACCTGTGTGGACACGGGACCTTCCCGCACCACTGTGTCTGGCCCCACAGCAAGCCCAGCGGCTCCCAGCAACACAGTCTGCACAGTGCCAGGGCTGGAGGCAGGACCTGTGTGGACACGGGACCTTCCCGCACCACTGTGTCTGGCCCCACAGCAAGCCCAGCGGCTCCCGGCAACACGGTCTGCACAGTGCCAGGGCTGGAGGCAGGGCAGACTGGCCTTCAAGGTCCAGAGGGGAGACAGACAGTCTGGGGGTGAGGCGTTGGCGGGCAGCTGGAGCTGGAGCCCTACTCTCCAGGACTGACAAGTGCCAAGGCTTCGGCAACTGGCGAGGTCACAGTTCACAGCCCAGGGGTCTGGCCCTGTGCGGCTGCAGCCTGGTGCACTGGGGACGGACACGGAGCCGGTGCCGGAGGCCAGCGCCACACCGCACGCGCAGTCGACACCAGCGCAGGGCTCACAGGGCCGCTGCCCTCAGCCCACCTGGGTGCTTGCGGGCCGCCAGCACGGCCGCCCTGAGACAGAGCAGGCAGAGAGGCTGCAGGCCCCTCTGGCCGCCCAGTTCCTGTGGGCGCAGTGTACGGGGACTCCGGGTTCCCTCCTTCCCGCTGACGGATGTGCTCTCCGCACTCTGAGCGGTGTCCCGAGGGCGGGGCGTGGTGGCCTGAACCCTGCGAGCCAGCAGGGAGGCCTCCAGAGGCTCCTCCCGAGGGCGAGGAGCAGTGTGTCAGAGGTCACTCCCTGACGGAGCGCAGTGCCCTCCGCGCCGAGCCCCCCCGGGCCTGTGAAAGATGCCCCTCATTTCTACCGAGTATTGATTTACTTGTGATTAATGGGCCCAATGTAGACTGATAAATGATATTAATTTGTTCTGGGGTCTGAGAAGACTCGGCCAGGGCTTCTCCACTGTGGTCTGAGCTATTTCCTGTGGCTCTGCAGGCGCAGCCACCAGACCTCTATCCAGCCCTCCCTCGGCCTGGTTGTCCACAAACAATGGACAGAGGGACAGCAGACGCCTCAGCAACCCAGTGGCCAATTAGCCCAGGGGAGGGGCCTACCTGCTACCTCCTTGGCCGAGGGCAGACATGAGGCCTCCAGGTCGGCGGGCACGGGGCCACCCCTCTCCAGGGCACACACCAGCTTCCGCAGCCGCTCACACTCCTCCTGCAGCCGGGCCTGGTCCTGGCGGAGGCTCCGCTGCGCCTCGCTGGCTGGGTTCACGCTCATGTGCAGCACTTTGGTCTTGCTCTGGTCGTAGTCACCCTGCGGGGCACAGGGAGGAGGCCACACAGTCAAGGCAGAGGGAGCAGACAGTCAAGAGCGTGAGTCAGGACCCTCCGTGACAGACACAGTGCTGGCTCTCAGCCCTCCTCCGGCCACGTGCGCGGCCCCATCAGCGAGCAAGGTGCCAGCGCGCACCTCCAGGGGCTGTGAGGGGTCGAGGAGAAGACAACAGGGATGCGTCAGGCTCCCCACCCGGGCCATGGTGCATGCTTGGCTCCGGACATCTTTCAAGCGCTCTGCTGACAGTCTTGAGGACCGGGCTCCTGCGACCTGTGAGGCTGCGCTCGGGGGCCTCTCACCGCCCGTAGAGCAGGGCCCGTGGAAAACAAGGCCCCTCAAGGACACCTGCATGGCTGACCTGTGGGCACCGCTCCAGTAGTGCTCATGTTTGCTCCCTGACGCCTGTGGCCCAGGCTCCCCGGGCTGCTGCCCTGATGACCTGGGCTGTGGGTGGGGGAGGGCAGCACCCTTCTCCCCGAATCACATGGACAGTGGGTGTGGAGGACGTACCGCGCACAACCACAGCTGGAGGGGGCTGCCCTTCCAGAGGGCGGAGCATCCACGTCACTAGTTGGAATTCTAGCAGGACTGGTCTCCTCCCCCCAGCTGTATGTCCAGTCCCTTCTGACATGAGTACTGACTATCACACTGGTTTATAAGTCAGTACGACTCATCTTGCTGCTTGGCCACCGAGAGGGCTGTCTGCTGGCTCCTGTGTCCCTGACACGGCCCACTGTGGCTCACGCTTGGGCACTTCCTGTGTACTAGGAGATGCCCTGGCGCCACAGTCGGCCGTTCCTGCACAGGACGGGACCAGCTGCCCCCACCGCTGCTGGGTGGGGCTGCCTCGGCTCCCGCAGCGGACGGGGCACACAAGTGTGCGTGCACTGTGTGTCTGCATGAGGTCCCCTGGGTCTCACGACAAACTCCAAGTCTGCCCGAGGACCAGCACGTACACTGCGGGCACTCGGACAGAAACAAGGGGCGGAGGGGGGAGGCCCTGAGGCTCTCAGAGGAGACACACCCACTGGGCGTCACAGGAGCCCCAGCGGCTCTGCCCTGCGTGGTGCTGAAGGGCCCAGAGCTTGGCCCTGCCATAAAAACCAGGCAGCAGGAAGGCCTTGCTGAGACAGTGGTAAGTGGTGGGTGGGGCTCTCAGTCCGGAACATCTGGGCCCGAAGGCCAGGGCTCAGGACAGCCAGCGGGGCATCAGCCGAGTACCCAGGCTGCCCAGACGCTCCTCCCCCTGGGGGAGCAATGGCACCACCGAGTCTGCCAGGTCTCTGCAAGGGCTCCCGTGGACCCGGCCAGCCCTGCAGAACGGCAGAGAGGACGCCACGTGCCCACTGGCACCACCTGGGGCAAGACAGTTCCGAAACCCTGAGCCCACCTTGCTGCTTCTGCGCTGCGCTCACCGGGAGAGGGAGCCAGCCCAAAGAAGTCTGCCCACGACACTCCCTGCTGCTCCTGCCCGAGGGTTAGCCCAGCCCGGGTGCCCACTGAAGGACCAGCCCAGGACATGGTCAACACGCGTCCTCCCCGCTCTGCTCCCAAGTGTGGGGCTGAGGGCGGAGGTGACCCCGCCGGCACACCTGGGCTAAGGCTGAGCCACCAGTCCCCGGCAGCCACAGAGGCAAGTTCCTGAGCAAGTCTCCACACCCAGCAGGCCACGGAGGTTGGGGGAGGAGCCTACACCATGCCCACTGGCCCAGATGCCTCCCAGTGAAGCCTGCTCTCCCTAGGTCAGCGTGTACCTGTGAGGCCTTGGGACACGTGGCCCCCCTGGGATGAGAGGCCACTTCTTCAGCCACCGGTGGCCTTGCTGAGAGCTACATGAACATGCCAGGAGAGGCCTGCAGGCACCTGCCCGGTGCAGACAGGTCCCTGGTGTGAGCCACCCAGTCCCGGGGTCCTCGTGACAAAGCACTGGGCACCACACCTGGTCCCCCCACACGGAGGCCGCGGGGCCCTGCGCTGTTCACAATGGTGACGGACACCTGTCAGGTCCCATTTGCGGCAGCTCCTGGGAACCATAGGGGCGAAGGGTGGCGCCCGGCGCGTGGAGACTCCGTCCTGGAGGTGATGAGTCACTGCCCAGGACAGACCCAGGCTGTGAGGAGCAGGCCCACATGCCATCTGCTGAGGGAGGACAGCCGGGCCCCCACGGCCGCCCCACCCGAGAGCAGCAGCGGAGGAGACGGCAGCGTCGCTGAGCTCTGCTGCCCGGTGCCAGCTTCACGGGAAAGAGGGAAGTGGCCGTGATGAGTGGCTGCAGACGTGCTGCCTTGTCTGATCCACAGCCGAGGAAACTGTCGAGACGCTGACGAGTCTCAAAAGGAAAAGTCCTGACACCGCTTTGATGTTCGGGTACCATGACTGACCAAACACCTACACTGCCGTCTGCTCACGAGTTCAGTTAACCAGGGAGGCCCTGCCAGGGTGGGGCCTGGTGCAGGAAACCCCGAGGGCCGAGCTTCAGGGGACAGGGCCCACACGGGGCCCACAGTGAGGTCTGCGCAGGGCCGGGCGCACGGGGCTCAGGGCCCACGGCGGGGTCTGCGCAGGGCCGGGCGCAGGGCCGGGCGCACGGGGCTCAGGGCCCACGGCGGGGTCTGCGCAGGGCCGGGCGCACGGGGCTCAGGGCCCACGGCGGGGTCTGCGCAGGGCCGGGAGCACGGGGCTCAGGGCCCACGGCGGGGCCTGCGCAGGGCCCGGCGCACGGGGCTCAGGGCCCACGGCGGGGTCTGCGCAGGGCCGGGCGCACGGGGCTCAGGGCCCACGGCGGGGTCTGCGCAGGGCCGGGAGCACGGGGCTCAGGGCCCACGGCGGGGTCTGCGCAGGGCCGGGCGCACGGGGCTCAGGGCCCACGGCGGGGTCTGCGCAGGGCCGGGCGCACGGGGCTCAGGGCCCACGGCGGGGTCTGCGCAGGGCCGGGCGCACGGGGCTCAGGGCCCACGGCGGGGTCTGCGCAGGGCCGGGAGCACGGGGCTCAGGGCCCACGGCGGGGCCTGCACAGGGCCGGGCGCACGGGGCTCAGGGAGCAGTGGCCACACAATTCTGAGATGAGGTGGGGGGTCTCAAGTCCAGATTGGGTAAGAGGCTGGCCTGAAACCAGCACTCCTGGGCGGAGCAGGAAGGGCAGAGACGCCTCCGCCCTGAGGCTGTACCCTCCCCTGTGTGTGGCTCTCTGCTCAGACCCTGTGCGGCGCGGGGGGAGGGCCGTGTCCTCGTGTGCAGGAGCCCGAGTGTCCTGGGGGTGGGTGGGCAGTGGGGGTGCCTGCTTCACCCTGCTGTGCTCCAGTCCTGCTGGGACCTGCTGGCCCTAAGCCTCCGGTGCTCACTGGCCTTGGTGCTCTCTGGGCCAGGGAGAGGCCAGTGAGTCTGATCTTCAAGGACTTCGTGGGCCGGAGCTCAGAGCACTTGGACAGAGGACGACCTCCCCAAAGGCCCTGCCTGGCCTGAGGATGGACCTGCTGTGGAGTGGCCAGGCCACCCCGGGCCAGGCGAAGGGAGCTCCGCCCCTGGCTGTGCCCAGAAGAGCGCCCGCCTCCCTGGACCCGCTGTGCACACTGAGACCCTGCTGGAAAGGGGAGACGCGAGGAGAATGGGGAAGCAGTTCAACAGCGGCCCATCCTCCGCACAGTCCGCCACTCAGCCCAGTCCATCTCGCTCCAGGCTGAAGGAGCACAGCTGGGGGGCGGGGGGGCTCTGGGGGTGCCTGTGGTCTGGGCAGGCTGAGCCAGACCTCCTAGGTGGGGCTGAGCGGCCCTTGCAGGCCCCCACCTGCTGGCCCCCCCCCCCACCTCTGCACAGGCAGGCGGGTGCTCCATGCAGGAGCCGTGCGACCTTGGGCAGGCCCCGCAGGCGGGTGAGCGGGCCTGGCTCTTGCTGGGCAGGCGGTGGGCGTGTGGGCACTCCCGGCTCTGACGCTGCGCACACGGCAGGCAGGCCCAGGTCTCCACCTCCTTGCTCAAGGACCAAGAAAGGAAGGTCCAGAGAGGACCCCACTGCACTGCCCAGGACTGGTCACTGGGGGCGGAAGAGGAAAGCCCAGGGCTAGAGGCAGGAGGGGAAGAAGCTGCAGTGCAAGCCCCCCCCGCCCCCGGGCGGCCAGGCCAGAGGTGGGAAAGGCTGGCCATCACGCGGGCCAGGCCCCCGCAGCCCCCCCGCCCCCCGGGCGGCCAGGCCAGAGGTGGGAAAGGCTGGCCATCACGCGGGCCAGGCCCCGCAGCCCCCCTGCCCCCGGGCGGCCAGGCCAGAGGTGGGAAAGGCTGGCCATCACGCGGGCCAGGCCCCCGCAGCCCCCCCGCCCCCGGGCGGCCAGGCCAGAGGTGGGAAAGGCTGGCCATCACGCGGGCCAGGCCCCCGCAGCCCCCCTGCCCCCGGGCGGCCAGGCCAGAGGTGGGAAAGGCTGGCCATCACACGGGCCAGGCCCCCGCAGCCCCCCCGCCCCCGGGCGGCCAGGCCAGAGGTGGGAAAGGCTGGCCATCACGCGGGCCAGGCCCCCGCAGCCCCCCTGCCCCCGGGCGGCCAGGCCAGAGGTGGGAAAGGCTGGCCATCACGCGGGCCAGGCCCCCGCAGCCCCCTGCCCCCGGGCGGCCAGGCCAGAGGTGGGAAAGGCTGGCCATCACGCGGGCCAGGCCCCCGCAGCCCCCCCCATTCGCACTCGGCCCCACGGCAGAGGCTGCGTTTGGAAGCTGGGCCCGTGGCGATCCCGGTGGCTGCGGCTCCCTGGCAACACAACACGGGACGGACGGCCCGGCACCTCGCAGTGGCTGTCAGGGCTGAGGAATGATTTATGGTGGCCACCGTGTGTGATGGTGAGCCAAGCGCCTCACAGCCCACCCTGAAGGGCCCAGCGCACGGCAGCAGCACAGACGCCTGGGCCTCCTGCTCAAAGGCCCTTCTGGGGGATCCAGCATCAGGGGGATGGACAGAGGGAGGACAGAGCCGGGGTGGGGGAGGCTCAGCCTTCAGGC